AAACATATAACCAGAAAATCAATTTCAAGATGTTTCCAAACAAACAAAAATTGCTACAAAATAGGTTACTCAGGAAAGACCTACGGAAACCAAGTGTTTAGAAACTGAATTGCTACTGTGATATATCTATCAACCGAGAAGGTCAAAATGAAAATGCAGCTGCATTAACTGTATAAAAAATGTAAATGTTTCACTCATCTGTCACAGAAACATTTTAAAGTCATCTTCTGACCGTGGTAATTTCCTTCTCTTTTCTCCCATTTTGTGCTTTTACATTTATGAATGGCATTCCTGTATCCAAAGACTACAAAATTGTAATTCTGACATACTTAAGTGTGTTGGTCTAAGGCAGCGGTTCCCAAACTTTTTAGGCCACGCACCCCCTTCTACATCCCGACCGGGTTCACGCACCCCCAATCCCCCACACCTTAAACAAAAAGCAACAGAGCCTATTTATAGCCGCATAAAAATCGGACCAATGAGAGAACAGTTTGCTCGCGCGTGGCGTTTGTTTACAAGATAGTGTGAGGTAGCCCCTTTCTTGCTATTCTGTAACTGACCCGATATGAAGTCCGTAGTGTGTTTTTTATAGACCCAACACATGAATGAGACTGCAGTTGTTTTGGGCTGTTTTGAAACTCCTCCAATTTCGATATAAAAAATGTAAGTGGCTTTTGACTTGCACTGGCATGCTTGGTGTTCAGGTTGTCACGGTTGGGTTTTGCATTGTGTGAGTGTGGTGTGTGTTTGTCTGTGTGTCTCCTGACCATGCTTATTCTCTCCACCTGTGCCAAATCACCTGCCCCTGTCTTTTCCCTTTGCAAACCCCAGTCATCTCTACTCACCTGCCGGCAATCTGCTCATCAACCCTCACCTACTTATACTCCCCTGCTTGCCCTGTTCCAGTTGCCGGATTATCCTTTGTTCCTTTTCCCTTCCCGTGGACTCTTCGCTCTCCTGTGGTCATTCCCTCGTGTTGACCCTCTCGCCCCACGGTTTGTGTCTGTGCTTTTGGTGACCAAGCCCTTTTGTGACTTTGCCTTTTATATTCAGTTTGGATTTTTCTCACTCCCTATTGGAGTTGTTTTTGGTTTCTATTTTTGTTTGCTTGATGCCCAGTAAAGAGCCTTGCAATTCACCTTAACTTGTGTCCTGTGTCTAAGTCTGCACCTGAGTCTCGGATTTACTCCTAATCCCACACGGTAAACCGTGAACCGTCACACAGGTGGCGAAGTAAATAAGAGGGCTTCAGACAGCTGTTAGCCAGAACCTCACTGCACCGACTGCCTGACTGCAACCCTGTCTCCTAAAAATTACGTTCCCCCAAAACTAAAATGCATTCTCAATTACATTTGACCAAAAACGTATTTTCTCCCCAATTACGTTTGTGTTTGACTTATTACATTGACTTATTACAAATACGTTCTAATCAACATTTTAACACTTTAATATTTTTTTTCCCCTCCACCACCGCCTCTCCTTCTCCCTATTACGCGGTCAGAATACTACCACAACACGCCGCCTGTCTCCGGCAGAAATGCGCTCATCCACGCACGGGAACAACACCGAGTTGTCGGCCGAGATGCCACCAAAACACCCCGCCTGTCTCCAGCAGAAACGCGCTCATCCAGGCCGAGCAACGAGGAACATTACGCGGCTACAATACCTCCAGAAAGGCCCGTGTGTAAAATCTGGTAGTAACCGTGACTCTTAAGGGTTAGGTTTGGGTGGGGACGTGGCTTCCTAGTGGAAGTTATGGTTAGGGTTAGATGGATACAAATAAATCAAATATATTTAATTGGGTGATATATGGTCTGATGGTATTTGTGTAAAACTAAAACTTGTAAAAGCTGAGTTGCTGGTGATAGAAGTAATTGTAGCATATCTGACAATGTTCAGCCTACAATGCTGTGTGTCTAATATGCAATTAGCCTACTTGGGTGTGGTCCAATTTAGTGTGAAACTGCTGTGACAGCTTTCACAGGACACTCCCTAAATTCTTTCATTGGCAACCAAACAAAAGAATGCCTGCACTTTGTCAATGTCAATGCATAGTGTATGTAGTGTACGTTGTAGTTTTGTGAGCTTCCAGTTTTGGTTTCTTGGTTGAGTGAACAAAAAAATGAGTTGCTATCTACGGTATAGCGGCTGTTTAAAATTGTGGTATTGTGCAGGATGTCCCATGTCATGCGATTGATAATTCTCTTGACCAATCAGTGGTCTGCAGTGTTTTAACTCCACGTTCTAGTATCGCCTCTGCTCACTTAGTAATGAAAAATAACCTGTGAGCAGGGCTCAGCACTAACTTTTAAAAGTGGTTACCAGCCATCAGCTTTTGGTTGCTGAAACTGAAAATATTGTTGCCATTTTTAGTCACCTTATAATTTCAGTAATCAAGATACCATGCAGTTATTTGTCAGCTTAATAACGAAAGCATATACAAGATGTGTGTATGTTGTAAATGCTTTGCGGTATAATTTTCAGTCCAGCTCAATGATGCTGTTATACTTTGCTCATGCCTTTTTGCAGCGGGTGTGCGTGTCTCCCATGCTAGCTGCGCGTATTTCCTTATTTCTTGCATGGTGAGGTTATTGGTTCTGCAGTGCATGGTGACATCGTATCGCACGCTCGCGTGGAGGTTGTGCAAGAACAAGGACTTAAAAGCTTGGTCTTCTAGACCAGGGGCGTTACATCTCTGGAAGTACGCTGATCTCAAGCGCCTGTAGTAGTCCCTTGGGGCTTCCCGCTTTCCTTGCGAAATAGCAAAGGCACCGACTCCCTACCGAGGCTGGCGGACGCTTGGTCGGTGTACAAAGAGTACTCTTCCCGAATGGCCTGACAGAAAGCCGAGTAGCGGTCATTGATCCCAGGCTGTAGTGTTTCCAGATATTCATGGAGCTTTTAGCCATGGTTTTCCAGATAAGCTGTAGTTTTTCATGCAACGAGGGGTGAGGTAGATCAAGGAGAGAGCGATCAACCTCCGGAAGGTAGTCATTGATACTTGACTCGCAATTATTTGGATCAAAGTGCTGGGAGGACTCGCGAGGGACTCAATCTGACGGGTACGCAAACTCTGGTGCAGAGAAGGCCTGGACCGTCAGAGTTGTCTGAATCTCCGTAGTCGTTAAAGTTGCCATAGTGGTGAGGACGACTCACCTCCCTTTGTGTGGGGAAGGGAGTCCGTTCCAGGTGCACACGTGAACTACAAGGGAAAGTATCGCTCGCCTGTGGATGCGAGTTTGAAACCACTTATGCCACTCGGGGTCTGGGAGTAGTCCCCCCTCCGCCTGTCAAAACGCAATGTAGTTCGACTATCTGAGAATGAGACACCTGGGTCAAGCGAGCGGACAGGGGCGCTCGGTAGCTGTCCCTGGTGATAGTATCAAAGACTGCACCACTAGAGGCTGCTAAGTACCTAGCAGTGGTCTTTGAGTTGACTGGAGTGGCATGATCCTGCAGTACACCTTGATAGCTGTTCTGCAGCTGGTCAAGCTCTGTTTGAGCGACCAGGGCTTCTTGTTGTAGAGGATGATTTTTTCCTGCTGTGCAACGTGGTAGCTTTGCTGCAGCTCTGTAAGTTCTCTTTGGGTGAGCAGAGCCTTTTGTTGCAGCTGTTCAGTCTGCCTCTGATTTTCTACAGCTTGCAACTGAGTTTTTCGATGATAAAGGAGTATTTCTCCAAGGACGTCTGGAACAATGCGTTGTGGCTTCCCGGTTGGGTGATTTACATAAGCCACTAACTCCTTTATTTTCTCATTGCATGAGATAGCATTATAGCTATCAAGACTATCTATCCTCTAATGTGAGATTGAGGAGACCAGCAACCGCATCTTGTAGAGCAGGGTTGTCTGACTCCTGGGGTGCTTCAGCTCCTGCCCTACGGGGTTCTTGGTTGGTCATTTTACTTCCTAGTAAACGGCAACACTCAGTGGCTCTAATTCCTTGATGTGATCAAGAAAACTGTTAGTGTTAACAGTTAATGCAGGTGCACAGTGTAACGCTTCGGTCTGTGTCTTACAACTTCAACTGTCGGGTTTAAACAACAATTAAGTCTACTAACCACTAACACACTGAAGCAACTCTCTACCCACAGCTGAATGTTTGTTTAGGTAATTAAACGAAAAAAATCTAATTGAATTATCCAAAAACTATTTTCAGAAGAAAATTTATTCATTAGTATAATTCTGGATTATTGTGCATAAATACGGCAACAAAGCTGGTTTAACGTAGCCTCACACGGGGAACCAAAATGTTGGGATCTGGCAGGAGCATGTTTATCAGCAAGTATAAAAACTAAATTATTGACATCAATAAAATTATTAATATCAATAAGATTATAAATAAATAATAACGGAGCACCACCCTGAGATCAGGGACCAATAACCAAACTATAAATTGACTCTCAAAATTGGTGTTTAAGCACAATGTCAATAGTCAAAGTACTATTCCACACTATTGAACAGTGAAGGTATGAATTCGAGCACAGGCCATGATAGCCATCCATTATCACAATACACAAGCACAAAGTAATCACAGAAAGCTGCTCTTTAAAGTATAACAGAGCTTCAAGCTGCGCGGCGATAAATCCTCCATATGGCAGCAGGAATTCCTCTGAAGTTAAGGGAATGTTCTTCCATACGACCGGCAAATGTGAAATAATGAATCGAGTGGGAAGGGGCACGCACGTGGGAACGTTGTTGTGGACAACTTGCTTGCAGAAGGAATAAACAGATTCTTCAGAGGAAGGACAAATTTGCTTACTAGTCACACACCAACATTTGCCGGTAGTAAGGAACAAAATTCCCTTAACTTCCGAGGAATTTCCGCTGCCATAAGGCTTGGTGACTAACTTTATCAGTTAAAAGACCAGTGCAGCAGCTGCCGAAGCCGAGTTCACCAGTTGGGTTTCTGTGTGATAAAGTAACAGTTTCTGTATTTTACTGCGGCGGATTACCTAACCCACACACATAGGTGTGGCTACTCAATTGCTACTAATTGCATCCCTGTTTCCTTCACTTCCCTTTTCCTATGAGGAGAGAAGTAACAAGGAATTATGTTTTAAAGACATGAGACGTCCTTTCCTCAGTTGCGTCACGTGAAGCGACGTCTGTTTCTGATGACGGAGGCCACTGATCACAACTGGATCAGCTGTCAGTCAGTTTTAACAGCTGGAGAGACTTTTGACAGAGTTTATGTCTGCACACATGATCACTGTACTAAAGACACAGTAATCATCACTGACAGAACAGAGATATCTTATTTCAACTGCATTGAGTATTTATACTGTCCTGTTTATAAGCACAGGACCGATTTCTACCGACGGAATGCATTTGTCTTATTTCTGAATTATTTGTGTTTGAAATTCTGATTGACGTCATTAAATAACCCAGATTATGATTGTTTTTTCTTGAACACTGGAATACATTTATCAGGCTCAATGTTTCGGGGGAAATTGAAATGATACAACTCATCAAACCCCTCACTCAGGAATGATCAGCCTCACTTGACTGAATGGAAACGATGTAAAAAAAAGTGTTTAGTCTCTCCAGCACTCTTTAAATGTATCCATATTAAAAGATATTGAGTGAAATATCAGATCACGAAAAGACAAATGATGTCATTATAAACAAACATGGCCTGTCTTGTTACTTGTTAAGTTGATCAGGCAGTGCTTTAGTGTAAAGCTGCAACCATATGATAGCTTTTGTTTAGAATTTTTGGAGACACTATTTGGTCTCTCACTGGCCCACTTTACAAGGTACGTGGCACCCGCCCTTTCTACCATGCAAGCCAGAGGTTTGACAATCTTACCATACCTGGACGACTGGCTAATAATTTCTCCAACTGCGCAGGAGTCAGTCAGAGATACAGCTATGCTCCTTGGTCATGTGAGCCAACTGGGCCTTACGGTGAACCACTCAAAGAGCATTCTGACACCCAGTCAGAGGGTAGGTTACCTGGGCATGATACTCAAATTACAGTCAAAGGGAGACTTCCTTTCCCAGAAGAGAGTGTAGGCTATTCAGCAACTTATAGGTTGCATACATTGGGGCAGGGCTTTGGAACACTGCCTCTTTCTCCCCCTACTGGGCATGCTGACAGCAGAGTCCATGGTCAACCCTCTGGGTCTTCTTTCTTCCCGTCCCCTTGAAAACTGGGTCAACGGGCTCCATGTGGATACCAAGTGGCTGTCCAGCTTTTGTTGCCAGACATAGAAGCCTTGGAGGAGAACACTATATCTTACCAAGGGGTTTCCGCCGAGAGGTCGTGGAGACAGACACCTCTCTATTGGGCTGGGGTGCTGTCTGGCAGAGCAAGACCATCAAGGGCCGATGAAGCGTGAAATGAGTTTAACTTAAAGTGTGTAAATGAAAAAAAATAAATAAATGAAAAGCCAGACTGACCTGGAAATGTGGATTGGCTGGTTGAAGTTGAAGAGGATGTAGTCATCCTGAACTGGTGTTATTGCCCAGAAGAAGTCCTCTCCTTTGTAAGCCTTGTCCAGACTGTGTTGCTGGTAATGTTTCAGGCTGCTACTCAGTTCTGCAGCTGGGTTATTGTGAGCCTGGAACAAACTTTGCTTCCCAAAGTCCTTATCCTGGAGGGGTGGAAGGACAGTTACACATACATGTAAGCACAAACACAGGCACAAACACACACACACACACACACATATATAAATATATCACGGTGGCCAGGAGGAGGGTTAGAACTCCGAAACAGACTGCGGGACTCTGGAGACCGGGTGTCAGGAGGACAGAACTCTAGAGACCGGGTGTCAGGAGGACAGAACTCTAGAGACCGGGTGTCGGGAGGACGGAACTCTAGAGACCGGGTGTCGGGAGGACGGAACTCTAGAGACCGGGTGTCGGGGGACCGGAACTCTAGAGACTGGAGATCGGGGGACCGGAACTCTAGAGACCGGGTGTTGGGGGAACGGAACTCCAGAGACCGGGTGTCGTAGAAATGGAACTCCAGAGACCGGGTGTCGTAGAAATGGAACTCCAGAGACTGGAGCTCGTGGGAACGGAACTCTAGAGACCGGGTGTCGGGGGAACGGAACTCCAGAGACTGGAGCTCAAGAGGGGAACTGAACTCTAACTCTCGGAGACGGGGCTCCAGGGAACAGGATTCAGACGAGAGATGCGGCTCGGAGGCGGCAGCGGCAGGAACTGGATGTCGAAGCGGCTCGGAGGCGGCAACGGCAGGAACTGGATGTCGAAGCGGCTCAGAGGCGGCAACGGCAGGAACTGGATGTCGAAGCGGCTCAGAGGCAGCAACGGCAGGAACTGGAAGTTGATGCGGCACATGCGGCAGGAAATTGAGGTTGATACGGCTTGGAGGCGGCAACGGCTGGAACTGGAACCCGCTGCGGCTAGGAGGCGGCAATGGCAGTAACTGGAAGTCGAAGCGGCGGCCGCTGGATCCGGGGATAGCAGCGGCGCTGAGGCGGCGGCGGCCGGGTCCGGCGACAGCAGCGGCGCTGGCGGCGGCCGGGTCCGGCGACGGCGGCGGCGGCGGCGGCGGCAGCTCGATACGGAGTCAGGCAAACCACCGACCGGACACGGGGAGCTGAAGTCATCTGTGGCCCCACGGAGACAGCGGCCGGAACTGGAGCCCGCTGTGGCTCGGAGACGGCGGCGGCTGGAACTGGAGCCCGCTGCGGCTCGGAGACGGCGGCGGCTGGAACTGGAGCCCGCTGCGGCTTGGCGGAGACGGCGGCGGCTGGAACTGGAGCCCGCTGCGGCTTGGCGGAGACTGGAACTGGAGCCCGCTGCGGCTTGGCGGAGACGGGAGTCTGACCTTTCCTCTGCCTCTGCCTCCTACGAAGGTTGAAAGGGCAGTCCATCAGGTCACGGTTCGCCTTCTGGACACTCCGAGGCCCTCCCAAGGCCAGGCGGGTTCCCATAAACTGTTCATACCACTCAGGGAGACGGCACTCCAAACGGTGGTCTGCTGAGTCCATTTCTAGCCAGATCATTCTGTCACGGGGTGTGGTGGAGAACTCAAATGCAGACCAGACCAGAAGTAGAGTGAAGCAGGTATTTAATGAAACGTGAAAACAGAACAGGAAACTTACAGGGACATAACAGGGAATCCACGGACGAGACAAGAGACGAGGGGGAGATTCCAGCAGGACGAGGCAGGGCAGGCAGACGGGGAAAACCGGGAACAGGAACACAACAGTTCCCTTCACCGGAAAAAAACGTTGGTATTTGCTTACCTTTTATGAAGAATCAGAAAAATAACGGCGAAAATGATCCGGTTCAAAGCTAGAATCATTATTTGCAACTGCATCCTGTCTGTTGCTCATCTGTTTCCTGTAGAAGGGGGGTCAATCTAACTTGCTGGACCCGTGGGTGTGTGGTCAGACTTTTGGCGAATGGAATTTTACGTTCGGGGATGCGCGGCACTCTTTGCATCTTTACTCGCTGAAAATTCTGTCAATCAACACCCGGCTTCAACGCCCGCCTTCCTGAGACTCTGACGCGTCGAAGGCGGGCTCATTGACTGAAATCGACCGATGATAGGCTGAGCTAGAGCCCCATACACACACAGCAACTGAGAAAATCCCATGGATGAGAGCCAGAAACAGGCTCTGAGAGGACCCTGGCTCTCAAAATGATGCCAAACGGCTGTATTTGGATGTATTGAATAATATGAGTGATAAAAAAGTGAAATATAGTTATATAGTATATAAAAGTACAATGTAAGAGCTGCAACAGCTGTTTCCAAAATGACGACCTCGCGTGACCTCTCAGTACTTAAAGCCTTTTATTCTTCACTTTATCACAGCCAAACGTTATTCTAGGACTACTGATCGGTTGTGCTATGATTTGGGAGAGTTTTTAGGCTCTCGGCTGCATTATTTCAAAAACATAATATCAATAAAAGTGCTTTTTTTTCAGGCGAACCTGAATATTTTCAATTTGAGCTGTGTAATATCTTCATGTACTATATTAACCAGCAACATATACACAATATTTACCCATCTGAACAATCTCACAAGTGTTATCTGATTATAGCATCAAAAATTATTAAAATAGACCTTGTAGTTACAGAATTTAAGTCTCTTTAGTATGGGTATGCCATTTTCGAGCAGAGGCCTAAAAATAGGGCTAGTGTTTAATAGGTTTGTTGGAGTTTTCACAGAGGTCAAAAAAACGTTTGCTCTTTGCTGACAAGTTCTATTCATTAAACAAAGTTGATACAATAAATAGACTAACTCATTTTACCTGATACTTCATTGAAAGTAGAAAGCCACACTACAAACTCCATGATAACAAAACTCACAATTTGGATCGTATCACGGATTTAAGTCACAGATTGGATCTGCAGAAAAATAAGGGAGCAAATGCAGAGATACCCCTGATTACGTTTTTTTAGTTTGTAGATCGTCGATAAGCCATATCGGTAGTAACAGATCGTTTTTGTTGTTTTGTTTTGTTATAGTAGCTGGTATACAATGGTATACACTATTCGGAAAATGAATTTCAACCACACCCGAAGTCAATGTAGGCCGTCAAAAAATGTAAATGTTATCATTTTTCTTTGTCACAGTCATTTATAGTGGTTAAACAAACACAATTCAAATTATAGGAAAATAGAAGATTGTATTTTTATTCATAAAAGAAAATCTTGGCATTTGTAGTTTAATTATGTATTATAAGCTGCTGAGAGCTAGTGTTATGCAGCGTTCACACGAGTGACAAAAGCAACACTGCCAAGTATGGCAGCTACATTCTTGGCGAGTTGCAAAAATGTTGCTCAAGCGCTTGTTGACATGTCTATGTTTTTAAATAGCACTGGGAACTGACTAATGGCATTTCTTTGGATGAACAGGTTGAAACAAAAACACATGATTGTTAGTTTTGATTACAAATCATAATTTCGCTAATATATTTGTATGACCTAATCACATTCCTTTAATTTATAAATGAAGGTTTTGCATTCCGTATAATTATTTTTCTTTAGGAACTTTTGTGATTAATCAGATGAGAATCAGCTGGTATAAGAGGAAGGGGTGGGACAGAGTCTCGAGTTGGTTTTTCCTTTGTGTAGAACGGGGCATCGGAACAGTCTTTGACCTCACGTTAAACTGATTATATTTTGCTGTTAAATTTTGTCGAAAGAGAAAATAAATCAATCAAGTGACGCCAAATGAATCAGCGTCTGCAAGAGTTGTTATTTGGACTGTTTAATGTGTGAGTCAGGACGGAGCCCTGTAACGTGGCCCAGTAATTAGGAAGAAGAACAAAGAACGGGCCACCACAAGTGTTGTGCATCAGTTTGTAGTTTCACGTCACCGGCTACCTCTAAAATGACTTGTAGACTGTTGCTTTGTTGCTCCTAGTGTGTACACAGCATTAGGAAGTGAAACACTAATATCCTCCGCTTCTTTAAACAAAAACTTCATTTTACAAGATTAAGTTGAACATATCATAATAACGTAATTTAGCTTTGCCGAATAGAAAAAAAAATGAAGCCTGATCAACATAACGCATCATAGTGTAACCTCAATTTACTCAATGGAACTTGCATAAGTTAGCTGTTAGCTCCGGTGCTGCCAACGTTACTAGCTCTCCTCCCTACGATTTCAACACAGATTTGTTGTTAACAATGTAGTATTATTAGAGATCGGCCATGTGAAAGCAATAAGCCAATCTCCCGATTGCAGCAGATAATGATCGGCAGGAAAACAATGGATGAAATGTGTAATTAATCCACGGTTCATATGTGTGTCAAACCGTGAAGGGTATTGATGTATCTGACCATTGTCGATCCGTGATCCATGAGAATCCCCCCTCGTGCTTCGACATGCATGTGAGCCATGGATTAAATCACACAGTTTAACGTTAACCATCACAGTGTGAAATAAAGTTTGACTGACGATCGTTATTCGCCAATGTTCAGTAAAATAAGTGATCAGGACATCATTTATGCTTTTCTAGTCGCCGCCCTCTGACGTTATATTGTAAACAACCAATCCGTGTTTAAATCGGCAGCATCGCTAACGGCTAACGGATGAAGGTTCCATTCAGTTACATTATGATGCGTTCATGCTCTGTTCAGTGAAAATTAATATTGGGGCAAATCAGAACGTAAATCATAACCTGATGTGTTCAAATGTAATCTCGAAAAATGTAGTGTTGGTGAGAAACTTGAATAGTTATTTGAAGATGTTTTCACAACAACATAAATGGATATTAGAGATGAATTATGAGCTCTAGGCAGCATGTAATACAACATAAAAACTACTAATAATAAGATTTAATTTAATCAATACAAATATTGACTATAACAAAGTAAAAGGATAACATTTAGAGTTTTTCATGATTTACAGACTTCAGAGCGGTTGAAATTATTTTTTAAATGAGAGGGGCACTCACCTTCAGATGCTGTAATTTCCCAGGTAGAGAGGAGTGGAGGCCTACATGCTGAAAGAGGGAAGGCTTGTACCTCCGCTTCTGCAAAGCCTTCTGTTCATTACAGTTTTTCTGGATAAGACAACACAACAGCACTGTCATAAACTCACTGTCATTATCAGCTACACTCCTGAAGTATTTACCACTGAACAACCTGCTCTAGTTCTGTGAAGACCTTTTTCAGAGACATTTCTGTATAATAACTATTAAGCAACATAATGTGATTGAGGAACTAACTGTTTATGAAATGTGGATTTGAAAAGGTCCTATGTTCGACATTGAGAACCAATAGATGTCGCACTAGAGCACCAGCACCAGCATAACTAACCAGCAAACCAGCAAAGCTAAAGATAGTTTAAATTACCAATAATAAAATAGCTTTATTGTTCCAACAATGTTGTATACTGTTGTTGATCTTTATTAGTGTGAATGCTGATTCGGCGGCATTTACCCTATTGAGATTCAAGTCATTATTCAACGTCTTCAATTTCAACTTTTAATCTTTCTTCTGGACTCCAACTACTTCTGTACACCCAAATGGCAAAAGATTCATCTCTTTAAGGATATCTCTGCTAATACTTTTCTTGTTTTTTCTACCATTTATACTTTTAAAAATGAAGTTGGATGATCCATCTGTCGTTCATTCCGCCCAGATACTACTTACTCTACAACTTGCAGTTTTAAAAGTTAAAAAAATCTGCTCAAATTCTACTTTCTGTCAAAAGATGGTTAAAATACCACTTTCTGTGGAACAATTAACAGTTTTACAGCTGCTATGCAGTCCTCAAGCCTCTCAGACTTCATTAAAAAACAGTAATTTTACCTCACCAATTGTAAATTCATTCAAATTAATAAAAAAACATATTGGTTAGCCTAGTTTTCCCACTTCCAACAATTAACAACTCTGGTTTGGTTGAAATAAACCTTTAATTCATCAAGTTAGATGTGTAAATATGCAGGCTCTAACCCACATCTCTCTTTGCCTCAGTGCTAATAATAGCTCGCTGAACAACATACCTGAATAGGGCAGGCACTTTTGAAAAGAAATACTTGGCAGCTGATGATGATTGAAGT